GCCTAGAAAGAGACAAAAAATGTCATAGATCAACATCTTCACAAAACTGATTCCTAATTACAAGTCAAGCTCCAATGTTTCTTCATATATTCAAATATCTGACAGCATACTATTCTTTAAAGAGCTTCACAATTAGTTTCCATAAGTCTTATTTAGAATACACCCAGAAAAGGATATTGAATATTTCTTAACTTATTGAGTAATTTTCAGAACACTTTCAGGAGACTTAAACTTAAATCTTCAATCCCAAGTGGACAAGAGCTTCCTTTCTTGCAGTTCTTCTGTTGTTGCAAAATGCAGGCTGGTGGAAACTCAAGCACGTGACTGTACCTTTTAGTCAGTGACCTCATAAAACTCAGAGGGAAAGACCTAAATTACATATGAAAACTGCCTATGATTTTTATCAAAACCTTCAGTAGAAAATGGGTATTTATTCAATATAGCAGTAGTTCATCTGAAGAAAGGATCTGTAACTCTACATGTCCCCAGACAGATGTTTGAATTTATGTTCAGTCTATTTAAACAACTTCAACTACCTCCTTATGTTTTTCTATCATGATTAACTATGCTGCTGTAAATCTTGCTTAAATGTGTTGTTGGACAATTCTTAATGCTGAAAAAAAGGTCTTAGGTTTGCTCAGCTATGCCCAGTTGAAACCACAGAGACCATAAGAACAAAAAACATATCTCCTTTTTTTCTACTTCTCCAGGCACACTAGACACTAGGGAAGCTGAGCAGGGTCTGGTCCTTAGCAGCAGGAGTCAGAACATGAAGTACTGATTAAATCAGAACAAGTATTGTGAGTTTTTTGTTTGGTTGGTTGGTTGGTTTGTTGTTGTTTTTTAAATACACCTAATTATTTTCATCTTTCCACATCTTTAGGAAAGGGCTTTTTTTAATCTTTTTCATATGGACAAATGTACAAAAGATTTTACAGTAATGATTGATGGACAGAATGTATCCTCCAATGTATACTCCAAGTCAATATTATCTTTGTAGCCTTTTCCAGAATGCACTTCCAGAGGTTATGAAAACATATCTTCTTACACCTTTTTAGCTTGCCTCATCCTGCATGGAAAACTTCTATGATGTTTTTATTATTTTAATTTTCCAGACTAAATAAGGGATTGTAAGACAAACCATAAGACTCTTGAAGAAAAAGGACTTCTTGATTCTACATCTCTTATAAAGAAGCATCTTTAATGCTGCCAATCTATATGAGATATATTTGGTTTAGATTTTTATTTGGCTATCACCATTAATGTTTTTTCCACTGTCGTACTCAATCTGCATGACATCAGCATGTCACCAACAGAACAGATGTCACTTTATTAAGGTCTTTTTGGTTTTGTGTTTGTTTTCTGTGCATTGTAATTAGTGATCTGGTCTTTCTTGACACGCTACAATTTTCTTGCAGCAATATAGGTGCTCTGATGGCGACAGGCTGACATAACGTGGAGTGACAGCCAACAGAGTGGCAATGATCTGCTAAAATATTTGAAACTGAAAAGAAAAATCCATCTCAGTCAGCTAAACAGCCTGAAGGATCAAAGGAAGCCAAGCAGTCTTCTGTCTGGAAAACACAAGTCGTACAGTAAAATAGTACTTGGACTTGTTAATGGCTACTTGGATCACTAGCACCAATCATGCTGTAAAGATATTTAGGAGGTCATTAGAAAAATGCTCTAATTTGTTCTAGCACTGTTTCAATAAACAGTTTAAAGTTGGTTAAAAACTACTTTTTATACATATGTAAAAGCACAGGACTCAGGTCTTACAGTTTTAGTTCAATTTGAGTATAAAATGGAGCTTCTCTTATAGTGCCTGACATTGAGTCCCTTTCTAATAACATGCCTGCTGGTAGTAAGAGGCTCAAAATGCCATTTGTAGTTAAAATCTCTATTTGCAGATACATTGTCTAGCTTATTCATGCAGAGAAGTCATTTTACCTTTTGACCTTTCTGCTGGACTGAACAAAATCAGTGAAGACATATTTTAACAGTCTTTATATTTGAGTGAATTGTGCCTGCAGCTGAAATTGCCAGTGTCTTGTATTATTCACATTAATTTATTTGTAAAACACTTGGCCAAACCATTCCATTTTAGATATTTACTTACTTTTGTTCACATTTATAGTGAAGTTAAAAAATTAATGAAGCAGAAAACCAAAGCATTATAGCTCATTTTAATCAGATATAAAGTGCCAGAACTGCAATGCTTCAAACAGGACCAAGTTTTAAAATGATAAAATTTTTACTTAACAAATTAATTTTGTTCATCTGCCTAATTACTTTCTATAGCAAGAAATTACTGAAAAAATAAGTGTAAGCCCATGCTTAAATCCATTGCTGAAGTAGGGCACAATATTCAAGATTTTCTCCTCGGGATAAGAAGAAATACTATGGAAGTTTAATAATAAATAGAGCTAATAATAAAAAGAGACTAGGGTATTTCAGAGATGCTACATGCCTTCACTCCTTGATCTCTTCGGGAGCTGAAAGTATCTAAAAGCCTTCTGGACTGAGTCATGCCTGCTGAAGATTTGTTTTCACTGATACTTTAAAAGCCTGGAGTACCTGTCAGAGCTCTTGCTGGAAGCTGGTATATGTTAGCAAAAACTCTCTGGAGGCTGGAAAAACTGTGTAGGTTATAAGGAGTTATCAAGAAGTTGCAATTAAGTTAAGCATGACATTGACAGACACAAGAAGAACAGCATATAATTCAGAAATTATTAAAAAGTCAGGTAAATGAGCTAAGGATCTGAAAAAGCACAAAAAGGCAAGTCATAAATACAGCTAATCAAAGAGGATACCAAAGAAATTATTGGTCAAATTCAGAGATTACTTTGAAGAACACAGGTGTGGAGCAGAGAGAACAGGTACACATGAGAAACACTGTAGACCCACAAAATGTGAAAGTAGAAAATGGCAGAGGAACAGGCCACTCTGTGGTGCTGAGTATAACAAAGGATGTGAAGGTAAGCCCCAGGCAGGTTATTGCTGCTGCAGCTTTCACAGACTCAGTCATGTACCCAGACAGTGCTGACAAAGCAGTAACAGGAGAATCACAGAATCAATGAGGTTGGAAAAGACCTCTGGGATCATTGGGTCCAACCTACGACACAACACCAAGTCAACTAGACCACGGCACTGAGTGCTACATCCAGTCTTTCCTTAAACACCTCCAGGGACAGTGACTACACTATCTCCCCGGGCAGCCCATTCCAATGTCTAATGACCCTTTCTGTAAAGAATTTCCTCCTAATATCTAACCTAAACCTCCTCTTGCACAGCTTAAGTCTGTCCTGTCACTAGTTGCCTGACTTCTATCTGCCTACAACCTCCTTTCAGGTAGTTGAATTTGCTAATTCATGGCAATCTGCAAATAAAGCTGATTAATGAGTGTCTATGAAAGTAAGTAATGTAACTATTTCAGATAAACATGAAACATGGTATCAATGGAAGTGCTCTACTACCTGGTGCCTCCAGTAGGTTTTTGTGATCTTTATGAGCAACTTGAATGTCTTGGTTAGTGAAGCCCTTACCTTCCTTGTGCATTCTGTGTGAATAAATGTGCACACAGAGCTGGTAGAACATGAATAGTCACATGAACGTTTCATCTAACTATAATTTTTTTCACAGAAATCATAAAAAAATTAGGTTTGACACTTTTCAGACTACTCATGTGTATATCTGTATTTCATCACTTCATAGAATTCTACTTTCAAATAATATCACTTGTGCACGATGCTTAATTTATTAGAGATACTTGCTTAATTTATTAGAGATACTACACAAAGAAACAAAATGAGAGTTTCTCCGTTACATACATATGCTTTGTGTAATTCTCTGCATACATATTCTGCATATATATAAAGCCACACACATAGACGGAGCTTGCAAATTCACTGTGCAATACATAGCCAATAGGCAACCCACTGATTTATAATGAGGCAGCAAACCCAGGGTAACACCAAGATGAAGGACCAATGTTCCACTGACACAGAAAAGTGCCCACAGAATTGACTGTCCCAGAGGTGAAAACAAAGCCCTACCATCTGCCATGGACTGATTCAGACTGCACTAGAACAGAGTGAAGCTCTGGAACACCCGCAACATATTGGTGATATAATTGTGTGGGGCAACACGGCAGAAGTTTTTGAGCAGTGGAAGAAAACAATCTGAATCCTTCTGAAAGCTAGTTTTGCCATAAAACAAAGTAAGGTAAAGGGACCAGCACAGAAGATTCAGTTTTCAGGAATAAAATGGCAAGATGGATGTTGTCAGATCCCAATGGACATTATTAATAAGATAACAGTGATATCTCCACTAACTAACAAAAAAGAAACACAAGCTTTTTTAGGTGTTGTGGGGTTTTGGAGAATGCATATTCCAAATTACAGCCTAATTATAAGCCCTCTCTCTCTTTATAGCCTTAAGCTGCACCAAGGGATGTTTAGGTTGGACATCAGTAACAATTTCTTCACAGAAAGAGTGATGAGACGTTGGACTGGGCTGCCCAGGGAGATGGTGTAGTCACTTTCCCCGGAGGTGTTCAAGGAAAGACTGAATGTAGCACTCAGTGCCATGGTCTAGTTGACATGGTGGTGTTCGGTCACAGGTTGGACTCGATGATCCCAGAGGTCTTTTCCAACCTAAACTGATTCTGTGACTCCGTGAAACGCCCCGTAAGAGGACCGATTTCAAATGGGGGTCGGAGGGCTCGGTGCCCCGGCGGGGAGCCAGTGTGGTGGTTCTCGCTGTGGGTGTAGAGTTCATGTCCTTCACAGTGACTGGTATGGGGCTATTTCGGTAAAGCCCTCGCGGAGCGCAGTGGCGGCTGCTGCCAGGGCTCGCTCTGTCGCTCGAGAGGGGGAAACCCAGCGCCGGCTGAGACCGAGCGGGACCGCCGGGATCACCCGCCCGGCCAGGCCTGGGCTGGGAGCGCCGCGGGGGCGGGGCCGCCACGGCTGCGGTTTGTCCCTCGGCGGCCGCCGTAGCGGGCGCGCTTTCCGCCGCCGCGGGTTTTTGTACCGCCATGAGCCTGTGGGCCGACAAGCACCGGCCCGGTGCCCTCAGCCGCCTCGACTTTCACCGCGACCAGGCGGCGCGGCTCCGCAACCTGGTCAGTGAGGCAGGCATGGGCGCCCGGGGCCGCCGCGCTCCGGCGGCCTCCCCACCGGGAACTGCCCGCGGCCCTGCGGCCTCCGGGTCCTCTCCTCCCCGCGGGGAGGGTCCCTCGGGAGCTGGGATTCCGCCTCAGTATGGGGGAGAACTTCTCTGCTGTGCGGGGGACCGCACACTGGAACAGGCTGTCCAGAAAGGTTATGGAGTCTCCCTCACGGCAGATATCCAGGAACCATCTGGATGCAATGTGCGCTGGGATGGCCCTGCCTGAGCAGGGAGGTTGGATCAGATGAACCACTGGGGTCCCTTCCAGCCTGACTTCATTTAAACACAGGCTACCTGTTACTCCTTTGCCTGTATTCAAAACTTGCAAATGAAACTCCGAAGTAATTTTCTCTCTCTCTCCCTCTCTTCTCTATCTCTCTATCCTCTCCTCTGGATCTCTCTCTCTCCCTCCTTCTCTCTCTCTCTCTCCCTCTCTCTCTCTCTCTCTCCCCCCCCCTCTCCCTCTCCCTCTGCCCCTCTCTGCCCCTCTCTGCCCCTCTCTGCCCCTCTCTGCCCCTCTCTGCCCCTCTCTGCCCCTCTCTGCCCCTCTCTCTCCCTCTCTCTCATAAATGTATGTGTGTCTATTTTAATCTTTCTTTAAAGCCTTTTTACCGTGTGTTTATTGCAGCTGTCATTCTAGTAACCCTGGAAAGCATGTAAATGCTGGGATGGGTTTTTTGAGGGTTTCGTTGTTTGTTGGTTTGTTTGGGGTAATTTTTTGTGGGATGAAGTGTTTGAAGTGAAAAAAGTTATACATGTTCTATAGGAAATGTTGCTGCAGGAACATTCAGCAATTTTAAGTCTATGTACTATGTTATCATGGAGCTGGAAGAGTCATTTAAAATAAACTTGGGTGAAAATGGAAGAATGCATACTCTTTTCTAAAGAAAATACTGTTATAACTAACTAATCTTGTTTCTTTTTGTTCAGGTTCAGTGTGGTGACTTTCCTCATCTGTTGGTGTATGGACCATCAGGAGCTGGAAAAAAGACAAGAATAATGTGCTTGTTAAGGGAATTGTATGGTGCAGGAGTGGAGAAACTGAGGATTGAGCATCAGAGTATAACGGTAAAAAAAATAAGTCTCCCATCTGCTATGAAGTAATATGGATATACTGACAGGTTTCTGTTGTGAGCCTTTGTATTTTTTTGAGTTTTAAAACTAATTTTTTTCCCCACTCAGTATATTCAAACTTCTTTGTGTAATTAATCATACTGGTTTGGTTATATGAACAAGTAGTTTTCCAAATGTTCTTGTTCCTTAGGTCTTCAGGATGTGGGGTTCTCTGTTTTCTGTGCCTGGCTGGCTGTTCTTATGTGTTATTTTGTTTGGGATGGGGGTTTTAATTTGTTGTCTACAGGTTGGTTTGGACAGTAGCATCTGTCATGACAGACTAGTTCTGAATTAAATGTATAGAATTTAATTTGTCTGTAGAAATAAGGGTTATTTTTTAAATTCTTAGCACTGCTGTTTGCATATATGCAAGTTTTACCTTGTTTTATCATTCTCGTAGTGGCAATTTCAGCATTAGCAAAAAAAAAAAATCAATTTAAATTTTATCTGCCCTGATCTTAGGCATTTATATATTACCTCTTAAAAATCCTTGCTGTAGGAGGCTTAACCAGCAAGGGATTATCAGGCTTCATTGATAAATAGGTTATTTAATGTTTTCTTTTTAATTCTCAGTGGTGGAATAAATAATATATTTAAACTGGATGATAGAAATGTAGAATATATTTAACTGTTTGGACCCAAATTCGGTGCTGCTATAAATAGTAATGTTTTCTTCAAACAAAGTAGAGACTTGAAATTCTTTGGCAGGAGAAGTTAATAGCCACTTCGGGCTTGTCCAGCAATTTTGCCTCCAGAACTTTTCTTTGGATGGGCAGCGTGTCACTTATTTTGAACAACTGATGCCAGTAATGATCCTTCTTTTACAAAACTGTGGAGTAACTGGAGTATGCAGTAATACATAGCAGGTGTTGCTATAATAATCATTGCTGCTATTTTACAGGTGGATGATGTGTCAGTACTCCTTTTTTCCTTTGGAGGTGGGGTTGGAGGCATAGGAGATACGCAAGTCCAGTGTCTCAGCAGTTCTTTGATCTCTGAGGCTCTTGGTTTGCCTGTTGTAGTCTGTAAGATAGATTTTTAGAACACTTCCTGAGACTTAACATGCTTACTTTCTATATAGGCACCTTCTAAAAAGAAGATTGAAATTAGCACCATTGCAAGTAATTATCACCTTGAAGTTAACCCAAGGTAAGTGTACAGTAAAAATGCCTCACTTCCAAGGTAAGCTAATGGTCATGTTGTAGGTGGTTTCAGCCTGGACATATGAGAGACTGATTGCCCAGTCTGTTGCCTGAGCAAATTAGATAATGGTTTATGGGTTTGATCTGCAAATGAGAACAGGGAGAGGATTTTTAATTGAACAACTCTAAATGAACAGAAATTGGGATTGCTGCATACTAAAGATGCTAATGTTCTGCTTAACTAACCACATAAGCATGCTCTTGTTGAGGACTGGGTAACAAACAATTCTGGATTCATAGACTTAACCGTTTCAGTTGATATTGAGAAGTTTTATTGGAACTAACACCTCCATACTGTTAGTTCTCTTACAAGTACAAAACTAAAAGAATTCGAAAGTAAGCAAGATTTGCCCGGTAACTATTCAAATAAAGCGTTTAAAGTACAAGAAAGAACACCACCAAAAGATACTGTGAATCCTGTCTTGAGTGAGGTCAGATGTTGATCTAAACAACAGAAGCTAGAATGTGTTACTATATGTCTTCTTTGGCAGTTGTGAAATTGTAATAGTTCACCGATTGATAAGTTCATTGACCCAAAGTAAATACTTGTATTTACCTGAAACCTGTAACGTTGCTTTAAGTCACATAAGAGTGAATGTCATTGTGCACTGGGAGACCTTGGTTATGTTGGCTTTGTTGTCTGTGTGGCACTTGTGAGATAATGTGTACCCTGAAGTAACTTTGTGCTTACTGCTAAACCTTTGCTCATGCTGCTTTGCATTTTAGAAGCTATTCTCATGTGCCAGATCCCCTTAAAAATCTTGTTCTGCAGCTAATCTGTGTATTGATTATTGAATATCTGCTGGTGTTCTAAAACAGACACAAATAATTAATAGTTTATCAATAAAAGCTGAGAGTTTTATTGGTAGTTAACTGAATATGTCATTTTGATGGTATAAAATGCGTCACCATTAAGTCTTCTGCTCTGATAACCTGATACTACTAATACTTCTTCTGTTACATTGCAGAGAGTACTTAGAGCTTGAAACATGTGTAGAATTGGCGTAGTAGTTGTTGTACGTAATAGTAGTTGTTGTACATAATAGTAGTGCTGAGTTTTGATTAAGAATCAATATATTGATTCATAGGCTTTAAGTATCAAGCAATTGTCATGTTTTTGTCTGACCAGACAGTAAACCTGCCTGTGCTGTACTGTCGCCTGTGAAATTTGACTGAGTTATAATACAGTGAAATGATGTTGTGCATCTTGAGTAACATGGAATGTGATAAATGGCTAACAGGGAAAGGAAATGAATTTCTGGGAAGTACGCTGCAGATACTGACTGTGTTATGAAACTTAAATTTAGTTAACATTAGATAGAAATTTAATATTTAACAGAAATGTTCTTCTTCCTTCAAAAGGAGGATATTGTCTGAATTCCAAAGTGTTGTCTTCTGGTCACTTGACTAGCTTGGGTAGATGCTTTAAAATGGGTTCTGCTGAATTAGTGCATCCTTAAAGAATAAAGAGCAATAAAAATCAAATGCTTGTCTGGTAACTGCCTTTGTTTATTGTTTTCCTAGAATGTTTGATGTGGTCACATGATACCAAGGATAATCTTTTGTCATGAAATTATATCTCTGGGTTCTCTGTTGCTGCAGAAAATAATATATGTATTAGAACACTATTTTAATCACTTTCCATTTCTAACAGCTGGCATAGCTCATAAGTAGAACTGTAGTGGAAGGCTTGTTTCATTTTGATTACAGCACAAATACAAAAGCAAAGATCTGCTGCCTTGCTGAAGGAGAGAGCTCTGCAGTCCAAGTCAGTGTAGCCCATGGAGCATTTTGTGAATTGTTGAGCATATACGCCTTTCTCTGTTCTGCTGCCTTCTCCTTGGCAATAATGGAGAAGGTCTGGTTGAGTGGTGAAGAGAACAGTGCAGACAAATGTCTTTTCATTTGCTCGCCAGTGAAATATAGCAGAGCTACTGCTGCTTCTGTGAAGGCAATTGTCTGGGATGCTAAATAGGCAGTGTTTTTTTCCCCTTTTTCTTTGCATTTTTGGTGATCCACCTTGCAAGTCAGTAGTTCCCTCTGGTTGTCAAATCTGAGTCAAGCTAGCTGAGCTACTATAACCTGGGGACTGAGAAAGCTGTGCAATGCTACTGTAGTGGATAGTGAAGAGAAGGGGCAAGAGGAATTTCCCCATTTTTTACTGCCTTCCTAGAGGAAAAAAGCAAGCCTAATGCTGTAATAGGATCTCAGTATCAGTGTTTTACTAGTAACTTGTAACTTCAGTGTTTCTGCTATTCAAGTGTGCATTAAGAATTTACGTTGTTCGTGGCATAACATCTAGTTTTTGGTGGGGAAAAAAGCCCCCTGCTTTTGAGTCCATTGAGTCAGGCATCCTATTATGTTGTTAGACTTAATTGTTCTTTCCATAATGAGTGAAAGTGTTCACATTGTCTGTCTTTCTCCAGGTTATAGGTAACAAAAGTTTAGATTTCTTATCCCAGAAGAATAAGTTCTATTTTTATGAGTTAATTTGACAATGGTTTCACTACTCTTCAATACAGTGCTACTAATCCAGCTGTGCCTGCATAAGCTTTGGGTTGTTCTTTTTACTGGGAGGGTAACTTTCAACAAAGTATGTGTGTTGAGCTTAATTCTAACCCTAGCAACTTCTGAATTTTGTTGTTGAGTCCGTTGATCAGGGGGTTGGTTAGGGGGATATATTTTATGTGCAATATAAAGTTGTTTTAAAACAAGATTTATTCAAACTCCTGTTACAGTGATGCGGGAAACAATGACCGTGTAGTAATTCAGGAACTCTTGAAGACAGTAGCACAGTCCCAACAGCTTGAGACAAGTACTCAGCGAGATTTTAAAGGTGAGTAGAACAGTTAAAACCAGTGAAGGGCTTTTTAAACTTGGGATTTTTTTCAGAAATTTTATCTCATTGTTTCATGTGTGTACCTTCATGCATTATGCAGGTAAAAACAAACCTATTCCCATTTAGAAGATTTTTATCCATAGTGTACAGAGGGAGACTTGGTAAGAAAATTAAGAGACTTTCATTGAATTTTCCAAGATGCTTGTTTTTCCTCCCAATGACTAACTTGAAAGCAAAATCAGAACTATATAATGGGATTTTAGGAGAGAGGAGGAAATCTTGATAGATAGTAGAGCAGAAATTAACTGAAAATGTTCATGGATTTAGTACTCTGTCAGATTTTCCTACTGTTCTGTCTTGCTGTTCTCAGAAAGTACTGTTTCACCTGAGCTGCTAGACACTGATTGTCTCTACCAGTTACTGGTGTATATATCCTTACAGCTGCAGTTATACTATATCCCTCAAAGTATCTTGTAAGCTGTCTGATATTGCTAGGCTGTGTGTATAACCAGAAGTGGAAGAAGAATACTGGGATGACTTGTTCCTCCGGGCTCTGGACATTTTAGAGTATTGAAATGAACCATCTATCAGTTGCCTATGGAGGAACCTGCAGAAGATAGCTGGTTAGGTTGGCTGCTTCGTATTAGGTGTCTCCTGATGGTTGTGAAGCATTTTTTAAATACATTTTTCTTTTTTTCTTTAAAAGACCATGGAAAGGTGCTGCAGCTACAATAATAAGGCAGCTTTTTACTGTTTCTTTGTCAGGCTAAGACATTGGCTTTTAGATATAAAATGTATTGAGGCAAGTCTTCAAGTAATTTTTGCTTTTTGATATATCCTTATGCCATAACTTCTCCTCCATTTCTCACTTCAAAACTCCTATAAGAAGTTACTGTACTAGTTATCAAGGTGAAAGCTGCTACACCTATCTGGATTATTTCTTGGCACTGAAGCATTACAGACCCTGCTCTGAAGAAATTGCCATTCCAGGACGTGAATATAGTGTGTGAGGGAGCAGATTGTACAGTTAAAAAAGGCGCGTGGGTTATCTTAATCTTTATTTTCCTGCCTGTGGGATCATACTGCCTTCTTCTGCATATTATCATTCTGGTATTATCACTTGTGTGTCAAAAGTATTTGTTTTCTTAGAAAGATTTGATATTAATACAAAACCCCACTATTTTTAATCCTTTTTCCAGTGGTGCTGTTAACAGAAGTTGACAAACTCACTAAAGATGCTCAGCATGCTTTGCGAAGAACAATGGAGAAATACATGGCGACATGCAGGTTGATCCTGTGCTGCAACTCCATGTCAAAAATTATAGGACCTATTCAAAGCAGATGCCTGGCTATACGAGTGCCTGCTCCCAGCATTGAAGATGTATGTTAAAATAGAAGCAGATATAAATTATTTAAAAATCCTACTAGATAAGTTCTTGCTGTGGACTTACGAGATATTTTACTTTCACATAGTGACCTAGCTTTTCTTTGTGGTGAGTGACTTGTCAAGCATGGCTTATGAAAGACTGGTCCATTTCTGGTCTTTCTAACAGGAGAATATGTAGTTGCTGAATGGTTTGCTAAGTGTTGTACTCCCTGATATCTGTTTTCTATCCATCTAGATCTGCCATGTCTTGTCCAGTGTGTGTAAGAAAGAAGGCCTGACTCTTCCTCAGGAACTAGCTCAAAGGATTGCAGAGAAATCTGGCAGGAATCTTCGGAAAGCACTACTTATGTGTGAGTGCTGCAGAGTACAACAGTAAGTCACCACAAAAATTAATGTAAATTATGCTGCCAGACACATGAATTACCTTACTTCTAAGGCCACGCTAGAATAGGTGACAATTTGCTCTGATATTAATTTTTAAAAAATTTATTACTATGTAGGTATCCTTTTACTGCTGATCAAGACATTCCTGAGATGGACTGGGAAGTTTACTTGAGAGAAACTGCGAATGCCATTGTTGGTCAACAGACACCACAAAGGTAGGTGAATGGACTTGTTTAGAGTTATAAATTATGTTTTTGGTGTGTTCTGGAACCTAAAAAAGAAAAAAAAAAGTTGAATTTAAAAAATGTGTCATCTTTAGTTATGTGTAATTTTCTTTTAATTCTATTGGAGATGGTACTTTGCAGCCAGAGGAAGTGAGCTTTAAAATTGCCAGAGGACACTGAATGAATATCAGGAAATGAAAAGCTATTGCTTTTCCCTATTGAAGCTTAGTAATCAAAAGTGAGCATAGGCTTAGTTGCGTGTTGTGTTTTCTGTCTTTTTTTTGGTGGGGGGCATGAAATGTTACTTACTTTAAATGCTTGTAGTGTCTGACCTCCTGATACCAAAAGCTGAGCATTGGTAACTGTGTCACTTTGGCCACCTAATAATCTTACCCCTTTTTATAAACAAGGAAACAGAAAAACAGCATAAAGGAATCCTGTGGTGCTAATCAATTTTGTTTGTGTCTCCTCAGTAATCTTAAGCATGAATAATAACTTAGATATGAAGAGGAATTAAAGGAACACAAGCCTGAGACAAATTCTAATAGCCTTGTAGCTTCTAGATTAACTGAGACCATTGTAACTAGAGTATGTGTAACTTGTCTTTTGAGTAAAAGGTGATATGCAGCATTGAATTGAAGTTGACTTGTGCAATGCTTTTGGGTTTAAAATAACATGCAAAGCCAAAAGCAGAAAAGAAACTTTGCTTGGTTGACTTTTTCCTGAAACATATTTCACAAGTAGTGAAAATACATTAGAATGCGTTGGGGTCATACTTCTCATATTTTGTGGTGTCTTTCCCACAGGCTTTTAGAGGTCCGTGGACGGCTTTATGAACTCTTGACACATTGCATTCCTCCTGAGATTATAATGAAGGTAATTCAGCTGTCCAGCTCTTATTGTGTTGTAAATATTAATGCTATGACAGTCCCAACTAGAGTTAAAAAAAACAAAACAACACCAAAACATCACAAATTATTCGAATATTCATGGAAAGCTGTGTCCTTTCCAAATAGACATGAATCACCATCATGGAGGTGTTCAAAAAACTAGTACACTTGGCACTTTGTGATATGGATTAGTAGGCCTGATGGTATTTGATCAAAGGTTGTACTTGATCATCTTGGTCCTATTTTACAAACTTAGCCTACAGAATCATATAGTCATTATGATATGTTTTCATATCAAATCAAATACGATTTTTTTTTTTAAAGTTTTGTTGTTGAAATTCAGTATTTGCTATGTCCTAGTGGAGAGATGTGCTGAAGGATGCTAGAGCAGCAGGCCTTTTCAAAGACAGAAGTCATCTTGAGAGGAAAAAAGCAAGTGGGACGTGTATGTTCTTATTTTTAGCATGATGAAAGGATGCTGAAGACATCTAGAGCAGAACAAAGATTAAAGATAATGTTTGCAGCTTAACCTAGGTGGACTCTGCCTTCAGATATAATTTTTTTTTCACACTAACTGATTTCTGTTTTCTGACATTTTTGGTAGTTAGATGTTTCTTTAACCTTCATTTCTTATGGTAGGTTAGTGCATCCTGCATTGCTATGTTGGGGAGGCAAAAGGTGCATATTCTCTACCCTCTCCATTTTCATAAACTTGAAATGATCTAGAGATACTTCTCACTTAATCCTGACTGTTTTAGTACAGATGGATTTGCAATGATTTTATTGCTGTCTGTGATCTAAAATAATGCGTTTGGGGGTTTTGTAATGACTAAAGTATTGTGGTCAAGTTGTATTGTGTCTGCACAAAAATATGTATGTAAATATAAACAGATACACTTAAATTCTAAATAAACCCTTTCCTTGCTTTTTTTTATAAATGCTGTTTATCTTTGTGCTCGATGCTGGCAAGATACAAGTAAGTGGTTTTAATACACTTGCTATCTTGGTAAGAATTCTCCCCAGGGCCATGTGCCTCCATGCAGTAGAGGTTACAGTATTTGGAGATGAGATTAATTTATTTTCTTTATTAAGGCATAAATAGTTCCAGTAAATTATTCCTGAATGTTTCTGCTGTTGGATTAATGAGTGAACTATTGTCATAGCTTGGCTATTTTCAGAGAAAGAAGGTTATCCTCTTAACAAAAAGTATCTGATTTTTCAAATACTGTCCTGTTTTTTCCTTTTTTCCCATTTTAGGGCCTCCTGACAGAACTTCTAAATAACTGTGATGGACAACTGAAAGGAGAAGTTGCACAGATGGCGGCCTTCTATGAACACCGCCTGCAACTGGGCAGCAAAGCCATTTATCATCTGGAAGCATTTGTTGCAAAGTTTATGGCAATTTACAAGAAGTTCATGGAGGACGGGCTAGATGACATGATGTTCTAACTGATACCTGAAGTTGTACACAGAATGTTGCGTCAAGATACCAGTAATGTAGTAAATGCCTACTTGTTGGTGCTTGATTACATGTGGATCTAGTTCTAAGTCAAATATTTTTATTTTACTGTTTAATAAAGCAGTGTTTGCTCAGCTTTAGAAACCAGATGGAGTGTTCGACAGCCACAAATCCATCTTTATATCCATACAAAATACATTGGCCTTTCAGAAAGACAACACGTTGCCTTGGAAGATGTATAAGATCATAGTTGCTTTGCAGTATTTGTAAGCTGACATTAAGAAGAGAGAACACAGATGCTGTGTGCTTGGTTTTTGTTTGTTAATCACAGATGGGCAGGGCTGTAATAAAAAAATGCTTTTTCCATGTTGTGGTAAGTTCCAGCTTGAACATGTATTTCCTGCCTGCTGATCTATACATCTTACTGTTTGTCTGGCTTTTTTTTTTTCTTAGCCACATTGTTTTCTGTGGTGCGCTCACACAGAATGTTTTCTGACATTTTTTTCTTTGTAAGCAGTTGTGTTGAATTTGTGGATGAACAGACTTTTGTGTTGCTTGTAAATCATGTTGACCACAGGGAACATCTTGTTTAGAAGAATTATACCTATATAAAGCAAGTCCACTTGCTGTCTGATACTTTCACCTCAAAATACATAATGCTGTTCAGGTAAAGGTTATTCCTTTAACTATTTTTTAGCAAAGGATAGTTTTGGCTTTTAACAAATATTTTTTTCACCTCTTAAATTGATATGTGACATTTTTAAAGTGGCAAAAATAAACTGTAGAAAATATGAACAAATGAAATGCTGAATTGGTGTTTTATACTGTCTGTGATATTCTTTGCTTTGACACAGACATCTTTCAGAAAGGTGGGATATCCCACACATGCTCTGAGACTAAAGGGAGACACTGAAGTTTAAAAAATCCAAACAAATACAAGCAACAAGAAAAAGGAAAAAAACCCCAACCTCCCAAAACAGTAATAATAATACTAGAAAGCCAACAACACCTGTCTGCAAATCTTTCAGATGTTTATATACTATGGTAACCTAAAAATTACTGAATTCATGACCTTTATTACTTCACTGTGCTAATTTAGGCTATTACTAGATAATATTTAAAGCTAAAGTGAATTAAATACTGTTTCCTGTTCCCTTCCCCCTCTTTTTCTCCAGGAAAGGGTTTAATATTTGAGGCTTTTTTTGTTAGAGGTAGTTACACATAATGGCAGTTGTTTTGGAAGCTAGGGCCTCCCCACTGGCAATTCATAAAAAAAAAATCTCACTAGTTATTAGTAACTCTGTCATCCCTTTTAAAATGTACAAAAGGCAGCATTAATCCCGAAAGAGGCAGTGTTGCTGCTGTTGTTGGGAATTTGACCATTCAATGTGTGGTGTTAATGCACAGCTTGCCTTTGGGTTCAAACTGTGCTGACCTGCTTCATGATCAACTGTTCTCGTGAAGAAGATGGAATTTTTTCTTCCATATGCTCTTCACCCAAATTCCAGCACTGGTAGCTGAGTGCTTTGACTGTCAGAGATCCCGGAAAAACATCAGTCAGCGCTAGTGGCAATGAATACTTGAATCCATTACAGAGAAGGCCACAAAGGTGGATGGAGCATAATTATTGCATGTACAAACTGCCCCACTCTTACAGGAGCCTTGTCTTACTACTAATGTATGTAGGGGGTTGTGAAATACAGTTGAAATGCACAGGGACTGTAGCTGTGGAGGGTGGGGAGGCAGAAGCTGGACTGTGGGTTTGTTTGTCAGGGGAGAGACGCAGAGGAGCAACTTCTTGTTTCAAAAGGCCTCAGCAACTTTGTTCAGGGAAACCCCAACATGAATCTCTCTCTAGGTGTTCTCGCTGCCTCCTGTTGAAGTTTCATTTTTATCCTGTTCTAACTGGAATAAATCAAGAGTACCCAAGGATGGAAAAAAGGGATAATGACCAGGGTTTTCAGAGAGAGAAAATAACTATTACTATTCCCGAGAGCCAGCATTTTCCGCTGGTGATCCTACTGCCTCTTTGTCTTCCACAGTCTAGAACACAAATTTAAACACATGGGCACGGTATCTCATAAGACTCTGCACATGTCTTTCCTGCCTAGTAATTTTTCAGGAAATTTTGCCTTAGTATCCATCACAGGCTCCCTGGGAAGTCGGTCATGCTCCCAAGCCTATCAGAGTTCAAGGAGTGTCTGGATGATGCTTTTCATCATATGTTTAGTTTTAGTTAGTCCTGTGAGGAGCAGGGAATTGAATTTGATGATCCTTAGGGGTCACTTCCACCTTGAGAGATTCTGTGATAATGATCAGTGCTTTTTGGGAACATTTTAGAGGCTAACTGCCTTGGATGCTGCTTCACCTCCCTCCTGGGTAGCTGCCTTAGAAGCAGTATGATTGAGAACTGAGGCCCTGGGCTGTGCTGGAGGAAGCAAGGGCCAGTAACCTCCTCCACCCTTGTGCTGTGCACTGGCAAATGGCACTGATGGGAATGTATGAGCAGGGGGCTGTCAGAAATAAGGAGTCCTCTGCCTTTTTTCCCCCTTGTGGTACTCCCTTTTACCAAAAACCTTTTTGCCAAAAATACAGAACTTTAGGCTGGCAAGCAAGGGTCTCCTGGGATGGGCACAGCTGTCTCTGCAGCCTAAAGCAGAATCATAGAATCATTTAGGTTTGAAAAGAATCCAACTGAGCCTGCACACACAGAGCCCAGTGACAGTTCTGTGCTGGACCTACACTGAGTGCTGCACACCTTCACAGATCAAGTGGGAGCAGCAGTGCAGATAGACTTTTAAACACTGAATAGCACAGGACCAACCTCTAGATGATCCGTTTCTTCAGCTGATTTCATCTTTTGAGACCTGCTTAGAATTGTTTCTGAATTGCATGCTGAGGGGATTACCCTTGCTTTCATCCGGCAACACCTCCTGCTAGTTCAAAATGAAAACTCCAAGTTACTCCCTCCTGGGTGGGACTTAAGCACTGAACAAGTCTAAGAGGTTGCAGAGGCGTCGGCTTTGTGCTAGCACAGAAAGCCAGTGGTGAAACTGATTTTAAAAAGTTGATCAAGAAACTAAAGGCAGTAACTTCTGGTGAAACTTTCTCTGCTCTGCAAAGATTGGCTGTGCAAAGGACAAATGGTGCATTCACACTTTATTCTCCATTTCTGAAGTCCAAGCGTTAACTCCTGTGAGGAACATTATTTTTAAAATTGTATTATTTTTTAGACATCCATGATAAACAACTCTCCTTGAGAATTAATCACAATAAACATACTATCTGATTGGAAGACTGATTTTAAAAATGTATTTTGTTGAATAAATTCACATGAACAAAGCTGGCATGAGGAATATCCCCTTCTCTACCAACGAAGTACCCTGATTATCACAAGGTAGAAAGTAAGGTAGATAAGAGCTCAATATCTCAGATTTTCCTTCCAGTGCAGGGTATTCAAGATTATTACAGCTAATTGATATAAAGTAATAGCTGTAATTTGTCTTGTTGGAAAGAGATATGGTATGCTTGAGCAGCCTTTAGTCCTTTTGCTTAAAGTTTTTTTTTTCATGCATGAACAATTAATGCTGTATGAATTTGTTTCAACCAAACACCAGAGTAGCAGTCTGCTGAATGAAAGTTGGTGACAGTCAAATGTGTTTCTAGTTCTTGAAGGCCAAAATACTTCTCTTGATCATTACATTCCCTAAGGAGGGAAGGAATGTGAATGTGTAAGCATGCAAAAGAAATTAACCTCTCTTGTTGAATGTGTCCTGAAGGCTAATGAATAGTATATCATGCAAGTTGCATGTCAGGAATTAGTTGTATATCAAAAAATGACCAAGATTAAAATAGTTTGCCATTAACTTCAACACACTGAGCAATTGACTCAGAATTTTCTCTGTTACCAAAACTGAAATTGTTTTCTGTCCAAATTAACTACGACAACTGGCGCCTACCCAAGGTTGTTTTTTGGTTGGTTGGTTGGGTTTTGTTTGTTTGTTTGTTTCGGTTTTTGTTTGTTTGTTTTGTTTGTTTTGGTTTGGTTTTGGTTGCGTTTTTTTTTCTTTTTAAAGTGGTGAATGCTTTGCTTGTCTAAAAATTGATCCTATTAATAGTTAAACATTCCTATAACAGATTCTCGTCTGCAATGGTGTACAGTGTGTGTGCTCAATTTCTGGAAGATATTGTATAGTCTGTTTCAGCAGTCCTGGAGTTAGTGGATATTGTCCCAGTCATTTGAGCGTCAGGTGGTATTTCAGTGGAGATGGGTTTGGCATCTCTGAAACGGGAGGGAGGCAGCAGGTAATACAAGAACTTAACTTCACCACTGGTCCATCTGTGTTTATCCTAGCAGCCACCAGCTCCGTCCTGGCACCTTCTTGGAGCTGATCTCCAGTCCTATCCCAAGACATGGAATAGTGTTGGTCTTTTTTGGGTGTTTTTGACCTCTTTTCAAGCCACTATATGCAGTTACAAAGAGCAAATTTTGGTTAGAGGGTAGTAGAAAACTGAGAGCTGGAGACCTACTGTCTTGCTCCCTCTCTTGGTTGACCCAGTGTTTCCCCAAATAATTTTTCTTGGTTTTACTCGGGACAATTTACTTTGATGTTTTAAATGTGAGGCTTTTAGTTGGCAATCTGTGACAGCCAGTGAATGGCACGGTTTCACTGTAGCTAAATGTTGCCAATGTTGGCTTTCAGTGCAAGCAAGCTGGTGTTCTTTTCTAAACTTGTGATAGTATGTTCATGTCAAATGATTTGTTGTGCCAAATTATCAAGGCAACTCTTGAAACACTCCTGGTCACAATGAAATCTGAAAGGCATGTTAGTAAAGCGTGTGTTTCGAGAAATCCATGGAATATTTTCTGTGCTTTTCTTGGAATTCTTCTGCAAAATGTTTCAGTCTTGAGTAAGAAGGAAGAAAATCAGGAGCCCTATCGAAGAAAAGAGAGAAAGAAGTCAGAATGATGAAGCAGGCAAGGACAGATCCTGGGGGAAGACAGGTATACTCATTAATCTTATTTACATTTCAAAGTCGAATTATCTGCAGTGTTCTCAATCATACCCTACACTTATATTCCCTGCCACACACCATGAATAATAAATACATTTTGAAGGATAGAGTAAGTGACCAAATAGGCTTCTTCCTCTTTTAATTTTGTGGATGATCTTAATTTGAGAGGTAGTACAAATGCCTATGGTATGTGACAATTTTAGGCCGGTAGTTACTAATTAAGACAGAAAGCCAGATGCTGGCTAAGGCATTTTCAAATACATCACAGATAAACTTGCAGGAGCTGATTAACTCAAACGGAATGTCTCCTTAGGTGATAGCTACCAATTATACTTGGAACAATTTTTAAA